CTGAGGCCTCGGCTGAGGCCGCTCTGGGGAGGGGTGTGAGGGATAACGCAGCTAACAGGTCTACCGCCGATGCCCGAACTTTTTCGTTTCTATCTATTGCCTGGAGCTCATCTGACATCGTTAGAGGGCTGCCTCTCCTCTTTCAGGGCCAGGGTTTTGGCTGGTGACGTCGAAGGGTTACCAGCCCTGTGCTCAAAGTGGCAGGGACGGAGCTGTTACAGCCTAAACAGTGGCATGCCACCAGAATCAATACAAATTGAACCTCTGCTGGCGAGGCTGCACAGTGCTGGCTTTCTCGTATAGAGGAATCATCGTGAATTGGCCACAGGATGGGAATATACAGATGCAGTTGAGGAGAGAAAAAGTAGACAGAAAGCTGAGGTGAACAGAGGTCACTAGGCCTAGGCTGTGATGGTAGCGTCAGTAATTAACAAAACATTTTGTGAAAGCTATAATTCGCCTGCCCCTTGAGTCACCCTTGTGGACATAATGGCCCAGCGTCGCAGTGCTTCCGAGGTTTATTCTTCTAGTTTCATGTAAGTATTACTTTATTGTAATGGCTTAAATGTTAATATGGGTCCCAGCATGCCCCTGCCCCTTTCATCCACTTTCCACCAGGGATGGGCAAAAGTAGAGTACATCAGCCCTTCTCTTTTTATTGCTTCTCCCCAGTTCCCATGCAGGGTCGTACTCCTTCATATATGCATGTCATCCAAGCCGTGGTTAGCCTGCCGGTGCAATGTTGCTATCTCAGGGATTTCCCATTTAGGCTAGTGAACTCTGAGTGGGTTTCCTAGTGTGGAAGATTTAATAAAACAATGATTCGGGAGTTGCATAATGTGTGTATCCCAAATGACTCTGTTTCTAATTAGCTGTTGATATCGGCATGAGAAAGAAGAACAGCGACGACTTGAGAGCTAAATTTTACACTAAAGTGCCTTTGGAAAGTTGTCATTTCTATGTGGTGTGCTGTGGGACGGTGGTGAAAGGAGGCTGGGGTAAAAGTACCCTTTATTGTAACAGTCGTGTGGGACCTCCGCCTTCCTCATGAGTTTTTCTGCATCTGTCTGAAATATACCCACTGTGTGTCAATGTTTATTTTATTTGAAAGCAGCATTTAGAAGCTCTCCCGTCTACCTCAGATCTTGGCTTTATAAATTATTCCACCCATATTAAGAACTGCAATTTCTTGGGAACTGATGATTTCTTGCCTTAAGGAAAGGTGAAATCAAGCGATTTCTACCCCTTTTCTTATCCAGATAGCAGTAAGTGAGCTGCTTTTGAGTCTTCAGATGTCTAGTTTACAGTAAATATGCCAAATTGGCCTCCGTTATGTGCTCGCAATACCATGGGCACCCTTGTTAAATAACGATTATCTGACTTGACACTGTTTCAACATAATCTGTGTACAGAGCTGTACCCAGCTTTTCTTTTTACCATTTAATATGGAGCTTTTGCATAGGCATTTCTGTATACTGACAGGGGACATAAAAAATACTTGAATCACCTTTGGGTTTCCATTGCCAAACTGGCCTGGTTGCCATACGGACAAGGAGGAAGATTGGAGGCAGAGGTTTGTTTAGTGCCGTAGGAAAAATAAATGGTGTATTGGAAACTCAGGCCGAGAACAGATCTGCTTGCACAGGACCATTGCCCTAGGGAAGGAGGACCCCTTTCTGGGGACACAGTTTATACCGTGCAGGAAGGGGAGGGAGGAAGGGTAGAAGAGCGAGTATCTCTGTTCTTAGAGGTAGGGAAATTAAAAAGCGGAAAAGTTGTAAGTCATCCAAAGTTGTTGAAACAGATGGCGCAGAAGTTATTACCCTTGTGTTTTGTGCTCAAGTTCTTTCTCTAAAGCTTGCACCAGGTATACCCAGTGTATTTATAGTTTGCGGAGCAAATGAAAGGAAATAATTAGACTCTAGCTTTGCAGTTTGTAAATTAGCAGAATTAGAGGGTGGTTTGCAAGGGTGAACTGCTCAGGCTATGTGCAAAACCAGCTCATTTTACTTTTGCTAATTTGTTCTTTAATTAATTGGTGCCTACGTCTGTTGATTTGTGCTGAGACTGGCAAGATGCTTCGTGCAGGAAACCTCTTTTAATCTTGATTAATTCTCTGCTGGGGCAAGCCTTTTAAAAAATGTTAGCCAGCCATCTTCTCGCTTACCTCCAGGAGCTTGCAGTCAGTATCATGAGGCAGGCAGAGGAGGAGAGAAGGAAGGCAGAGACAGGCCATCCCGTTTTACAGATAAGGCAGTGGCACGTTTGGAGACGAAGCAAGTTACTTGGACAGGCAATTCAGGGCGAAGATGGTAAATGAGTCTTGCTTTCCTGAGTGTTAATACTGTAATTACTACAGGTTCAGTCAGATGTTTCCTTTCTGAAAAAGTTGTGTGTGGCAGATTTTCGACTCCTTCTGCCTGTGGGAGTAGCCAGATTGCAGGGAAGCGCTCCCCAATGTAAGGAGCACGACGCCAATCAGTGAGTTACCTGACGGGGCAGATAGGCTGCTGGAGAAGCAGATGAGCTGGCCATACGTTTTGCCGAGTGCTGATTCCGTGGGACTGAGCAAACTATGAAAATCCTGGCGGTGGATCTGCAGGGAGCAAACAAGCCTTGCGGCACGGGCGGCGCGGCCTGTTCTGACCCCGCTCCCCCCAGCGCACCCGACCCCTTACGCGTAAGGCATTTTTACAGCAGTTACCGATTCCCGTTTCCTTCGGCAGCGCTGCCGGTGCGCCCGGGCGGGCCCTTTTAAAGCCAGCCGCACCTCGGGCTCGATCCCCGTGCGGTTACTCCGTGCTAGGGGTGCCGA